CCGCGCGGCTGCCAGCAGCTGCGTGTAGGCGGGATGCGGCTTCAGAATGCCGATCTGGGAGGACAGGAAGGCCGTCAGGGCGCTCTTCCAGGTGGCCCAACCTCAAACACGACTGGCCAGCAGAGGGCGTAGTGGTTAGTCACTGGACTCCCGAACACCTCGCAGTTTGAGACTCGGACGGGTGGCTTAAAACTCATGCCAAGAGGGACCAGCAGGTGGCGTGGTGGTTAAGGCGCTGGACACTCCCACATGGCCAACCACAGTTCGAGTCCCAGACCTGGTGGCTTGCTTTCTCGCTTTCCCTCTCCCTCTTTCTCTCTCTGTCTCTCTCTGGTCAAATTAAAATATGTGAATGAGTAAATAAAAAACTAAATAAATAACTCATTAAAAAAAAAAACTCATGCCAAGAGCATGCGCGTGTGTGCCCAAGATCCCCAGAGGAGAATGGAGAAGGGACTGCAGTGTGGCCATCCTCCTGGGGGTGACTTTTCACTTTCTCTCTCCCTCCCTCTGTCTTATCAAAGAGAAAATACTAAGTAAAGTTAAATAAAATAATTCTTAGGGAGAAAGAACGGGGCCAGCAGGTGGCGTGGTGGTTGAACTCACACTTAACCAACCACGGTCCGCCCTGTCCTGGCAGTTTGCTGACTCACTGCCCCCACCTTCTGTCTGTCTCTAGTGAGCAAACTGAAGTGATAATAAATACAATTGAATAAGTAAATGTTTAAACATAGAGAAATAACCAGACAGCCACTGCGGGCATCGCTGAGACATGCTGCATGGCAGATGACGGCCCTGGGGGCTGGGGACGGTGGGTCGCACAGCAGAGACGGAGGCCCACGCAGGGAGCACAGACCACTGCCAACGCCAGCCCTGTGACCGAGCATACACCCCCGGCAAGTGCCTCTCCTGGACGGGGCGGCCCCCACACCCACAGCCCCAGCTCGCCCCCGCACTCAGTCCTGCTCCGGACGACTGCTCGCGCACCTGCCGGTAGCTGCGGAATGAATACACGTGGTAGAGCACGGGGATGAGCTTGCAGGCCCCTCCGGGCGCCGCCAGGCTGCGAGGCATCTGCACAGCCTGCACCAGCATCTCTGCCAGCTGCTTGCCCAGGTGCAGCAGCACAGGCAGGGGCCAGGGCCGCTCACCGGGGGCCTCGGGCGTGCCCAGCATCTCCCAGTACTGTCGCGGCAGGCAGGGCACCGCCACCTGTGGGGAGCACTGGTCAGGGGACTGGCCACAGGGAAGGGGGACAGCTGTACCCCTACCCCTGACAGAAGGCCAGTCGCCCAGCCCGCCTGGGTTCCCCTCACCTGGGTATCAGAGGCCAGTAGGTGCAGGTACTGCGAGTAACGCTGCTCCAAGGCCCGCACCTGCTTCGTGAGCCGCTTTCTCTGCACCGTGTGTCTCTTGAAGGCCCGCAGGCCCAGCTCATGCGCCAGGGAGATGAGGGACTCCCCCTGCGCGGGCAGGGTCTGCAGGGCCTGGGGAACACAGCTGTCACTGCCCACCCTGCTCAGAAAGCCTGCTGGGCCAGCCTCCCTTGGGGGTCACCGCTCCGCCCAAACTCCACCTGCCTTCCTCAT